ACATGAATCGCGCACTGGCACGCGGTAAATACGGGTTTATGTTTTTTGGTTCACGCACGGTTATGAATTGGCGCTGCGTAAAGCCGCCGCTCCCTGTTGGAAACAACATTCATAAGACTTGATACCGTACTCGGGGTGGATTTCTAGGTTACATTTATGTGCTATATTGCTTATATGTGCATTAATCTTGTAAACACCGTACCGGTCGAAGATCTGCTGATTGAATCCGATTCCCGATCCATGGTTCAAGGACTACCATTTGTAATTAATATCATTTGTTTTGAACCAGAGTCTAGAAGCGAAGATCATGAATTCTTGTTCAAACGGGGCCGAAGTGTCGAAACGTCTCACATGCACATTTAAGCATCGGATAAGAACGAACATAACGTTATGCAACAGGGCCTAAGAGATCGGCTTTCGACTCTCCGCACGTGCCGAGTTCGAATCCGCTCTAAGGACAAACTTTATCATAAACAAGAATTTTCTTAGGCAGGGAATTAATCCCACATTGTTTCGGCGCAAATAGCCTAGAAATGGGCAGCAAGCCAGTAACATGCAAATAATAGTGACATCGTCGTGCTCTGGTCTGATCTTCCAGAATTTACGAGGTTTACGGCCATGCTGCCTCATGCCATCGCCCTTGTGGCTGCAATTAGCCTTGACCCACTTGTTGCTGACTATCCAGTGTAACAATCAACACAAGGTGTAACCCCAATTCGATTTCAATGTGTACCTGGATGAGAGTAGCATGATGCGGAAACTGTATTCTTCCATAAAATAAGCAGCATAAACATTTGAAAACCCGTTGCCTTCTTTGCAGCGCTAAAAATGACAATTTCCACTTTTGTGATCAGTAATTTACTGCTGTTCCCGGTCGCTCGATAAACTTTCAACGCCAAATTTGCCATTACACTTCCACAGCGTTCGCTGAGACCTGGACATGAAACATCCTGTCTTTTATGAGTCATGTGGTTTCTGCCCAGTTAGGCGGCCTATGACCGTTTTATCCATTGCTTTCTTTCACTCTTATAATTTTTCTGTTATTTGCTTAGTTCACACAGTGCATTTTTCTGTGCTAGCTTGCACGGACAATAAAAGCTTAGCTTTCACTGCTTAGTAGATCAGACTAGTTGCAAATGGCAGTATGAACGGATATACGTATTCATCATTTACAGTAAATAGTTACGCCAAGGATTCAGTTGAAATTTAAGTCAGGGCCATATCGTGAAACGAAAAAGTGTGGCAGTATTCAGCTATTACGATAAATGGCGGCGCTAAGCATTCTGTTTAAATTTAGCAAACCCAGACCTTCCATTTGTTATTTGCACACATCAGCGTGAAAATATGTTGATTATTCTCGAGCAGGCTTGCAACGACCTCGAATCTCTCGTTGTCATTCACGTGTTTAATATATCTTCGCAGAATCTTTATGCAAAAGGGAGGATTCTAGTTGACTAAAGTGTCATTTTCCTCAATATTTCTTCCAAAAATGCGGTAAACCCTAAAATGCTGTGGCATTCGGGAGCACATAGTTTCTGTTTTGGAAAAAATAGTATACAGGAACTGCATCTGCTGCATGTGTAGGAGAACTACCTGAGTGGTTCTATACTAGGTGTGGACTTTGCAGGGAGATGTACTGAATTCGACATTACTTTCGACTTTATGCTGTGAAACATTGCTGACATTTGCGAAGACAAAAGTTTGAAAATATCCGGCTAAAAATCATGCTTTCTTGGAGTGCACCGTTAATGTATCCAGCTGCGAGTTGACATCCCTGCAGCAGGAACAGTTGACGTCTTTAATCTAGGTTGCTTGTTATACTGTAAGAATGACGAAAGTGCCCTATCTTCACGAAATGCGTAAAATGTTTGCGTTTCAGAATCAAGGAATGCTTGAAGCAATTTTACACCTTTATCGCCACAAGCTGCTGATGGAAAATTTGGCAGAGTAGTTTGGAACAAAATTTACTGTGTCGTATGTAAAATGTCACATATGTAATAATGACAAGCGTAGCCATTCCAAGCCAATGGTCTTCAATGTTCTTGTCCACTTACATCAGAACTGCGTTGCAGTTCTAATTCCAATTCGCATGAACAGCTGCCATGCGCAGCGTTAGGGGTATGGCGATGGTATGAACTGGAAAAGGTTTTCGACGTTTCAGTTGTACCTTCGTGCTTCTTTCCGGTGCTTTCTAGATGATCCTTGTTGCCAATATCCTCAAGCGCGTTTTGGACCTTAATCGAAGAATAGACATACATTGCATATCTTTCAAACAAACCTGCTGCATTGTCAAAATGCCAATCAGTCGGCCTAAGTGAGTAACAAAGGCTCGTTTGATTCCAAGTTTGTAAAATATGGAGCTCGCTTTCAACACGTTTATGCCCTCCATCAGTTTGAAAGGAGCTGGGTCAACGATTGAATCGCTCCAGTCGATCTGCAAGTCCAACTGCGCTTCCTCCCACCGTTTTCTCTAAACAACAATGTCTTGTTTCGAAGTTGAAGACGAACTGCGCTTCTTAACTTCTTGTCCATAAAGGTCCGGCGACGTAGGAAAACGATGTGTTTTGCTTATCTTCTTCTTGAGCATCCCTGAATTAGTCATACTTAAGAATTGTCAAATATTCGAAGCAATGGTAAATTAGAAAAAAGATTTTTGTTTCGCAGGACCTTTTCATCTAATGAAATCAACTCTCTTTTCAGCTTGTAAAACAAATTTCCTTTCGCCTAAACTAAAGAATGATTCCTCGCCTATCGTAGACCTGTTCATTCATGCTCCTACTTGCTCAGGATGGAACGTGGCTTACCGATACTGTATAAAAAATTTTTTATTAGTGGATAATAAAGTGGGACTCTGGAAAAAAATCACCATCAGCATCTGCAGACGGTTCAAAACTACGTTACTGCATGCAAATAATTTCTATAAGTTCTTGTTCGCATCTCTGAA